TCGTCAAAACAAAATTCGAGCTAACGAGTAAAGAAAACTCCCATCCAGCACTTTCACTCGAAATGGAAGTAAGCTCAACAATTGATAATTTTGGCCTTTAGCTATCACGATCACATTCTAATCTCATCTTTTTGGGCATCCTAGCTACACAAGGAGAGTATTGTACTTTGAATAAATGTCTTTTGTCCCACAATCACTTTTTTCTCTACGGGATGTATTTACTAGCTTATTTCTTCTTATCTATTTCCCAATCTCTCATCCTTTCGGGGATTCATCAAACTCATGAGAAATCTGACTTGATATTTGTCTCTACTATCTGCTCTTCCAGATAAAATCGCTGGGCCAATTGGTCGTTTAAACGTCTCATGTTCAGCAATTCACTTTCTTTTAGGCTAATACATCTATCCCAAATGACATGAGCATGAGACCGAAGCCAGAATTAACGAATAATTCGTTCTTCCCTACATCTTACCGATCTTGCAACTAAGCCATTTTAAGTGAATTCTTCCTGGACTATTTACTTAAAGCAGAGATACTAGATATTTGTATGTGTGTATGGGAATGGCGCCTCTACGCATAATACTCTCTATCGTATTAGCCGTTATTTAAAGGGGATTATTCCCTTTGTGCATCATAGCAAGTTCATGTTGTCTGGACAGCCAACCATGTTCGTCTTCTTCGTTATCCACTTTCTGACGTACGCTAGCAGAAATATATTAACACTGACTGTGGTTCACTATATTATCATTTAATAATACTGTAAATAGCGCATAATATGTTTTTTGCGATGCAGACAACCAGCCAGCTGCCAGATGAAACTATAATAGGTTTGATGACACTTCTAAATTCCCCGGGGAACTAAAGCAAGTCATTTTTCCCCGCTTCTCGGTAATCAGTTCATTGTGGATATGCCAATTCATGTAGGCTGTCTGGTAAGCATTTTCTCCAACCCGAACCACAAAGTTATTGTTAGAAGTATGAAGTCTTTTAAAGGGAGGTGCAAATATCATTGGGTGTGGGAATGGGAATGATCAAAACTGATTTCACCACGAATGACGCTACAGTAAATCTTATAAGTTATATATATTTTTTCATATTAGGTTTTATCTTATGGTTATACTGTATTATATTAATATAGGTCTAATTTATATTAGATCTGATGTTTTGTCATTTGCAAGGAAAAGTATACCAGTAAAGAATACACTTGTAACGGTAGAGCTGAGGAGACCCATCTAACTGATTTTGGCTTTTCATAATCCAACTGATGTGTGAGCTGGTGGGAAAGAGGGGAATAGATCAGTGCCTATAGAGAGTATTTATTTTAGAGAGGGAAGGAGACTCACTTTTTGTATCTAGCCGATACAGCATATTTTGTTGCTCTTACCTCGCAGAGGCTTGTGCGTATACGCACATGAGATAAGTGCCATCCAAGTAAATCAGATGTTTAGGGATGACTTCACCCGTTCAGACTTCTTTAATAAGAAGTTGTTTGACATTGTTCTCGCATCTTGGTCATATTGGTAGGATGACCTAGAGGAAGGCACCAAGTCGATGGTCAGACTCTGGAAATGATCATGTTCCTCTAGGTCTTCCTGTCAATGTGACCAAGTTGCGAAAACAAGATCAAACAGCTTCTATACAACGAAAGAGGGCCGTGACCATACAAGAGGCTACACCCTCCTTGTCGTCATACCTTCTTGAATAAGAGTTGTAATGACGTTGAGGGCGGAAATTTTGTCTGTCCTGAAGATGTATACCGCACGATAAACTAAGTTTCAGAGTGGGTTCACTAAGGATGGAGGGGAGTTTTTAAAGAACTATGGGGATCTCAACGATACATTGCTCAAGCAAATGCCCAGCAAACGAATTAACTAATTCCTTCATCTTCTGTCGAGATGGGATAACTAGAAGGATGTGCTCTAGCGATTCCATGAGCTAAAAGGACAAATATAGGAAATGTTGACTTGTTTTATCTAAGATCGGGATATCAATAGTGGGGTTCCAATCAGCTAATGGGAAACCATCAAATTTGGTCATAACTTTTAGTACCACTTTTAATGCCAATGTAGAGTATATGAATACATTCAAGCATTATAGATATGAAGAGTAACTGGGTTTCGATGAATATTCTGAGATAACATTATTGGTTGTCTTAGTGTTAACTTGAGAATTTTGCAAAAATAAGTCCCAGCTCTGATGATGTTCATCAACCGAAAAGAGTGAATAGGTCTCGTGGACTGCGTCAACCTGAACGTCGTATATGAACAAACGGCTTCAGTACAACGCGATTCAGCCGTCCTCTTCTGGTGAGATCGACCTTCGAAGCTATTCTGAATACACTTTTATACGAAATGAAAGTCAAGCCAATAATATTCAAGCATTAGTTGTAATGCATAATTATTTGCAACTACAATCATGGCTAGTTTTATACATCATTGTACAATTATCTGAAGAAGTTAAAGTTAACATACAATTACGAATTTTCATATAAGTTCCTTTGATAGTCATTATTATCTCGCTAAGTTTGGATTTCCTAGGTTTCAGCTGTTTATAATTCGAGTATATGCGAATGAAGTTAGGAGATTACTACTCTAATTGCTCTTGGAAAGGAGGAGATAGTGGATACGAAGAGAAACTTGGTTTCGAAGAATCTCCTGAGATAACATTGTTAGGGGGACCTTCATTTCG